ACCTATGTGTACTATAATAAAATATTTTTTGTGTCATCTCTTACTAGAATAAGAAATAAGTGATTTAAAAAGCTTGGAGGTTCCACTGTGCTATATATAAGGGTTAATAAACATTTTATGTTAATATTTTTCATAGGTGCATTATTGCAATGGGCCTTGATAAAAAAACATCTTTACCAAAACCTCGGAAAGAAAAGAGCACTGAGAAGAGAGTGGAACTGAGGAAGGGTGAGGGGAAAGTGAGGAAAGACGGAGAGTACATGACACCAAGAAGAAATGAGATGAAGGGGGACAAAACCTCTGTCTCAGACATTTTTTCAGCTCAAGAAATAAACACTGGGGTCAGAGAAGTGAGAACTGCTATGGAAGAAATGGAACGTAAAGGAAAACCAGGTCAAGATGTTTGGGAAGATGACCAGGAAAATACTTTAAAATATGGTAATCAATAACAGGGTTCTTTGATTGTTGCTGCTGTTGTTTTAAGTCTTTAAATGTGGTTATCAAAATTTGCAAAAATAGCTCTTAAATGTTGTTACTCAGTTGTGGGCTTTAGGCAACTCTGTGGCGTGTTAGGAATCCCTGATCATCTTCCTCTGCTGTTGTGCACGGAGTCCTGTGTCACCTACTTTAGAGGAGGGTAGACCTAACCCCAGAAGGGTTGAAGGTTCTTGTTGTGGGAACGAGGGAGGGGAAGGGGAGTTGATGTCTGTGTGAGCTCTGTTGACTTCTCCTGCAGAGAACATTTTGACCGCATAGAATTTTGCCTATCTTTTTAGTTTTTGGAGGTACTTGCTTTGGTGACATTGATGAATTGCTTTGCCATCAGGTAGATACAACCTATATGATTATATGGTGATAGCATATTCCATAACTTAGAGCAGTTGACACAGGCTTAAAGTCCTGGAGCCTATCTGTCTGTATTTTTTGGCTTTCTTCTTTATTTTCTTCTCTCTCCTGTCTTCTCTCTTCCTCTCTCTCTGCCTCTCCACACACACACACACACACACACACACACACACACACACACACAGGCATATCTCGTTTTACTATGCTTCACTCTACCGTACTTTGCAGATACCATGCTTTTTACAAATTGAGGGATTGTTGCAGCCCTGCACTGAGCTAGTCTGTCGGTGCCATTTTTCCAAAGCATGTGCTCACTTTGTGTCTGTGTCACATACATTTTGACTTTATTATTATTATTATGTCTGTTATGTTGATCTGTGATCAGTGATCTATGATGATACTATTGTAATTGTTTCGAGGTGCCACGAACTGCACCCATATAAGATGGCCAACTTAGTGTTGTGTATGTTCTGACTGCTCCACCAACCAGCTGTTCCTTCATCTCTCTTCCTCTCCTTGGGCCTCCCTATTTCCTGAGACACAAAAATATGAAAATTAGGCTGATCAATAATCCTACAATGGCTTGTAAGCATTCAAATGAAAGGAAGAGTCGCACTTTAAATCACTTTAAATCAAAAGATAGAAATGATAAAACTTAGTGAGGAAGGCATATGTAAAGCCAAGACAGGCCAAAAGCTAGGCCTCTTGTGCCAAAGAGTCAAGTTGTGAATACAAAGGAAAAGTTCTTGAAGGAAACTAAAAAAATGCTCAATTTCACTAATCATCAGGGAAATGCAAATTAAAACTACAGTGACATATCACCTTATCCCAGTTAGAATGGCTTTTATTAAAAAGTCAAAAAACAATAGATGCTGGTGTGGATGCAGAGAGAAAGGAACAGTTATACATTGTTGGTGGGACTGCAAATTAGTCCAAACTCTATGGAAAACACTGGAGATTTTTCAAAGAACTAGAAGTAGACTTACTATTCAATCCAGCAATCTCACTACTGGGTATTTATCCAAAGGAAAAGAAGTTATTTTGTCAAACAGACACCTGCACTCTAATGTTTACTGAAGCACAATTCACAATGGCAAAGATGTGGAATCAACCCAAGTGCCCATCAATTCATGTGTGGATTAACAAAATGTGGTATATGTATACCATGCAAGACTACTCAGCCATAAAAAATGATGATGAATTAATACCTTTTGCAACAATTTGGATGGAATTGGAGACCATTATCTTAAGTGAAGCATCTAAAGAATGGAAAAACAAACACCACATATATGTGCTATTAAATTGGAACTAACCGATGAGCACACGTGTGCACAGAGGGAAGTAAAACTCAGTGGAAATCAAGCACAGGGGAGGGGGGAAAAGGGGATTGGTGAAAACCTACCTAAGTGGTACAATGAACACTATTTGGGTGATGAGTACACTTATAGCCCTGACTCAAGATTACAGAAGTGATCCATGTAACCAAAAACATTGGTACCCCCATAATATTTAGAAGTAATAAAAAAAGAAAGTAGAAGAACTACAATTTATACCCAAGCTTGTCTAATTTCCAGCTCAGAATTTCAAGCACTGTACAACCTTCTATTCTGTACAAGGTATCCTAGATGCTACATGGTTGTGGGTGAGGTATCCAAAGCATCGGAGAGAGAGAGCTGCCTGAGTGTCCTTATTCCCAGGAGACAAAGCCTGGATTAGAGGAATGGTAGCCATGAGTTGGGGTGACCAGTGGAAGAGCTGGCTTCAGGAAAGGGGCAACTCCTAGGTATCTTCTTCTTCATCTCATATTGTTGCTACTTAAGGGTTTCAGGAAAAGAATAATTGTAGCACCTGCTAAAGCACTGGACTTTATGTTTGTTTATTACTGAAATAATATGTCCATCTTTAAAAAGATTTCACTCATAACACTTTTACCCAGTTTGCATCTCTCCAAGATCCCTTCTAGTCTTTATTCTTATTTTGGACTGAGAATTAAAAAATATCTATCGCAACAGCAATCAGAGAGAGATTGACAAATGGGATGTATTTTCCTGTGTTTTACCTTTTAAGACATGAAGTTTTATTAAAGTTAGGTTTAATAGAAGCTTTTCATTTTCTTCTCTTTTTTTCCTTAAACCAACATGGCTAGTGTTATGCGTGACATACTTTATAGCTATGATAAAGCTTTTCCTGTGGTCTTTCTTCTCTGTTGGCTAGTTAATGGACTTTAAATGTCCACTTCCATTAATAAAAAGCAGCGGCAAGGCTTTAGCTCCGCAGAATAACTGCTATCAGCTATCAGTAAGGGCAGCAAGAAGCTTGAGCTGAGGTCAGCGAGGGAAGGCTGTAGCTGGATTGATTTTGACCTGGCGTTGACTCACATCCTCATTAGTGGAGTTGGTAAACAACAGGCTAATTAAATTCCCTAGAAGAAGGCAAACGGGATGGGGGGTGAACAGAAGAAATTATGAAAAAGATTTCAGAAAGCATGCCACTTTTTTATTTGTAATTTTTATTTCATGTAATTTTTAAGTTCATTCATATTGAAAACATGAGTCCGTGACACAAAGGTGATGTGCTTTGGGCTGTGATGCTAATGGAAGGCTCGTGGTCAACAGAAGGCTGATGTTGAGATATGATGATAGTAGGGGTAGAACAGTCAGGGGAGCCTTGAATTCCATATTTGAAAGAAAACATAGGAGCTCCTGCAAAATGGATGCAAGCACTGTTCTAGTGGTTCACTACATGTTCCTTCAATTCTGTGCTCGCTTCAATTATTTAACTGTAATTGTGTCCTAATTGTGGACACTTGTATTGCTCCAGGTTTAATCAGGTGCCTCCATTAAAGTGTATTGCTGTCAATGGAGCACACATTATGTGTGATTAATCCTGTTCTATGACCAACTCCCTCCACTACCCGACCTCAACCACTATTACTACTAATCCCTGATATTTATTAGGCACTTGCTGTTCATGGCACTGTGCTAAGCGTGCTCCGTCAATTTTTGCTTTTAATATCCACCACAGCTTTGTACTATACATGTTATGGATGAAGAAATTTAAGCTTAAAGATGGTAAACACACTGCCCAAGGTCACATAGCTAGTATGCGTTTTAACTAGGTCTTGGGCGCATGACTGGCTGACTCCAAAACCCTCACATTTCACTACTATGTAATACTATAGAAGGAATCGCAGCAATGCACTCATATTCTGTCTGGCCCTGTGCTCATCTTGTAACCAGTAGCAAATACCTGTAAAATTATGTGTGTGTGTGTGTGTGTGTGTGTGTGTGCGTGTGTATGTGTGTGTATTTTGGAGCTAACCTCACTCCTCCTTATGAAGTCTTCCCTGAACCCTTAAAATGACTTTCCATCCTCCTTTGATTCCATTCCACTTACTTGACACTACTTCCCACAATTAATCGTGAGTCCTATATAAAAATCCATAGCGATCGAGCCCAGCAGTGTTGAAATTAACATCATTGAGGGCCATGTATAAAAACTACTATAACATCAGTACAGTATCTCTTGTGCACCTACATCTTATTTCCTCAACAGAAACTGGAAATTCCGTGATGGCAGGTGTTGTCTTATTGTGATGTCTTTTATCTTGCAATTTTATCCTCTTCTGCAGAGAAGGCTCTCAATAAAGGCTTATCGATTGATAGCTAACTGGGCCAAGCGAGGAATTATCCTATAACTTGGCCAGCAATACTTGAATCAAATATGTTTGTTTTTGTTAGTATTTCCTGCTTCTGTCATGCAATATAAAATGAATTCTTCCTCTGCTGGCTTATTTTATAATTTTATTTTACTGATATTTACATTTCTTGTTTAAGTGCATTAAATCTCTTGTGAAACGTTTTTGTGATTAATTCTCTTTGACTTTCTTCATTACAGTTTTTGATTTCACTTTTACTCTTACATCTCCCTCATTCATTCTCTGCATTTACAGAGCTTTCTTCATATGCATAGAGCATACATTTCTAAATTAAGTTTCTTTCATTGCAGCAGCACGGACAACTCTTAAGTAAATTACTGGAGAGGCCCCCACCACTGGAAGAGAAGCCAGAATATTAAATAACTAAAACACACAAAATTGGGAAACTGTTATTTTCCCTGTAATTTTTATTTTAAGGATAATTGTTTATTTGCTTAATTGGTTCTGCATGAGATCCTTTTGCTCGCTATCTGTGGCATGTTGTCACTTCAAGATTTTTAGTTTTTGGTGGAAGAGAAAGGGGAACAATTAAATATGAAAGGTGAAAAATTATAACCACAAGGGCCAGCTGGGGTTTGTCTGATGTGACAATTTCCTTTGCCTGCTACAGATTTGCTGCACCTCTGTAGGGAATGAAGCAAATTTGTGGCCGTGACAGGAATATTCTATTTTATATGAATTTTTATCCTTGGAATGTAATCATTTCATTTATTGTAGGAATGAATAATGCATATGATTTCAGTTCTGGCCTAGGTATAGAATCCTTCATAATGCCTTTTCTCAATGTCCATTTGGTTCTCAAAGAATGTGTTATTCACAGTGTTACTTCTCAGGGCCTTTGGACTTGATTAATTGAATTTTTCCACTTCACTATTCATTAACTTGATATCCAAATATTTTGAACATTTTTCATATGAAATATGACCTCACTAGGTCTTCAAATTAACTTTCATTATTATAATCCTGTTCTCTTAATTTTTAATTTATTTCTAATTTATTGTTTTATATCAAGTTTTTCTTTTTCCATTTTGGTCATTGTGGATGATGATGTCCATTTGTAAATGAACTTTTATTAGGTTTCAGCCTTGTCGTTTGGAGCTTCATTTCTTTTATGCTCTTGTATATGTAACTGATGGCAATCTTTGATCATTTGCTATTAGTTTTCTGTGTTCACTAATTGGGTGAAAAAGAAAAAGCAAAGAGAATCTCAGAAAAGAGAGGATAATGGAGTCAAAGTCCTCATTAAAGTGAAATAGGTTAAATATTGGGGATTCTATTTTCATTCTTATAGTGGAGGTTTTCTTTTTTCAGAATATGAAGAAGATTTTGAAGTAGATGAGGAGAAACACTATGGGAAAGCTAATGAAGAAGGACAGGCTGATGATCAAATGAATGGAATATCAAAGTCACCCTCAGATGATGAAAAAGATAATTTAGACCCTGAAAAGGAGAGTGAAAGCTCATCACAGAAGGCACCAGATGCCCATGACAATGTGAAAGATGAGGATGATGGGTGCTCGGAGAGTGACTCAGAAGAGGATAAACAAGGCGAGTTGTGTAGCTTATCGTATGACATAGACTGTTTAGTGAGTGTGCTTACCACATGTCTCTGTTTCCTAATTAGTGAGATAATCCTCTTTTAAGGGAATGTTTAGAGCATGGTTCCCTAACCAGGGGATGACAGTCAATCAGCCTTCCATAGATATCCAAGTTACAGAGTTATTCTTTAATCCTTTCTCTTTTCTTAGTTTGCTGAGATTGTTAAGTAAGGTGTCAGATAAAGCTTGTAGTAACTCATCTTCTGTTTAGTTAGAAAGTTACCCAAACTATCTCCTTTTACATACACACACACACACACACACACACACACACCTTTTTGTGGCTTTGGAAAAATAAAAAGTAATTCTTACTCAATAAAGGAAAAGTTGAGATTTGTGTTTTTTTTTTTTTTTTTTTACTTACCTTGAACATAAGATGCTGGCATATTAGTTTTATAGAAAAGTGACTTGCTTCCTCGTAATCTTTGACTCTACAATGACTTGTATATGTTCACAGGGAAAATACAGAGCTTTTCAAGTAGAGAAAGAAACCCTTATTATCTGAGGCGTACTTTAAATTTTTAAGACATTTTAAAGACCTTAATTCACCTAAATTCTGTCCCAGTGAAAGAAGGAACCCACTTTCTGCTTTACCCTGTAAGAGGGTTTGGCCATGGCTGTGTGGTTCTTATGTAATCAAAGATTTACCTTGGTGCATCTTGGGCATTTATCTATAATAACAAAAACCCTCTCTTATATTTACGTAGGTGTATGTCTTCACAATTTGCTTTTAACTAGAAAACAAGATCGGTTACATTATGATGACCTTTTGAGTTGCTGTTTTTGCCACTGTTTTCACCTCTCAAATATTTTGGAGCATGAAATTTCAAAATTTCAAATTCAAGATGTTTATCATTAGTATAATATAAAATAAGAGTAAATTAAGTAATCAGGTAATCATAAGAGCAACTATTTAGTTTATGGTTCCACTCTCTTCAAAAAGAATTCAAGCAAGCCTATTCTAAAATTTCATGCACGCATATACGAGGCCAAAAGATAAAGAACAGAAATTATTTAGAGGAAAAGAAGAGATAAGTTTACTAGCCAGAGAAGGGACCATGATGCTCTGAGAAAAGAGCTTATATATTAGACATGTCTAATCTAAGAAACACAAAATGTAAGTATTAAGAAAAAATATAGAAAAGGCCTGATTTAAGACTTTAAAAATTTTCACTGCCTGACCATTACTCTTGAGTAGTTCTTTCAACTGTAATAAAAATGATGGCAAATCTTATTTTCAAATGTGCCAGTAGTTAATCTCATTCTAACTTTTCACATTGTGCTTTACTCTTTACTTTGGCTGTCCAGAAGCCCAGGATTAAATTCTTATCTTGTTTTTAAAAAGAAGAAAATTAAAGGGGAAAGTTTCTAATTTTACCCCAATTTACCTTTCTCCTCCCTGGATGGACTTCCCTACCAATTCCCAGGCCTTTTACTTAGTTCCAGCTCATCTTCCTCTTCTCCCATGACTGTCTCCTACCTCAGCAGCCATCACTGAGCTCTTTATTTTATGAAAACCTATCATTCAATAGTTTATTTTTCACTCATTGTTTATGTGTGTTAAATTTTCCCCCTCAAATTAATGACACAAGTTAATAACACACAAATTAATTACACTCTGAAAGCTAGGACTGTATATTGTTTTTTTTATTTCTCGCAGAGCTGATTTCCTAAAAGATATATTGTAAATATTAAGCAATTATTATGCTTGGATGTCAACACCAAAAATACTAAGGTGCTTTGGTTAGTGCCATGATATCTAGTTAAGATTTAGGCTATATGATTATTATTGAAATTTTTATAGAAAAAATTATATAGTTAGCATTGTATAGATACAGAATATATATACTTAAAATAGATATGCAATGAAAGTTATAAGAACATGTAGTTAGTCCACAACTGTTGGGAAATTTAAGAGGCAAAAATTAACCTAGCCAGCTATTTTCTTTTGATGTTTCAATAATGATGTTATAAAGCTATCCTTTTTAAGGGCTCTTTCGCATCCGTCGTATTTATGTTAAAACAGTGCCATTATTCTGAAATAAAATCTCGTTGCTTATTACTGTTTCTTTCCTCCACATCCAGCCTCTCTTATTTTCCATTCTTTTTTTTTTTTTTTGATAACCTGCCCTTGTGTTATTCAAAAACATGCTTTTTGCATGTGGAGTATCAGAATTAGAAATTTCACCCAGTAGACAAGTATCGTGTATTAAAAATGATAATGACATGATAGATTCCTTGGAACACTCTGTTGAAAAGCCAGGCAGCATTTCATTTTCAAAAGCGTAAAAGGCATATTGTGACCACTGAATCCCAGACACCAGTACATCCTTTTTATTGACATGATTAAGAATCTTGCTGTTAGTATTTGGATGTGTTTCATTTGAACCTGCCTGCACCTGTTCCCAGAGGGCAAACAATTGCCCAGGCTGTCACTCTTGTGACAAGTCGGCCCCATTTAAACTGCCAGCTAACAATTGCGTTGGCCCGCCTTGATGAATACACTGCGCTGAGCAGCCAGTGAGTGATAGAGTGCTACCAGCTGAAAACTGACTAAGAGAGGACCCTGGTTTAGGAATGATGTGTGAGAGTTCCTATCATTTAAAAAGAACGACAGCTTCCTTTTCTCTGCATTTGTGTTGGCAACCCCAGGCACTAATTCACCAGTTGAAAATATATTGTCATAGATGAATGTTATAAGATTGAGGGGAAAAGTATCATGTCGCTGAGAATGTACTTTCATGGACAGTTTGGATGATAGTGTGCATGAGTAAGAGGTCAACGGGTACAAAGTTACAGTTAGATAGTAGAATAAGTTCTGGTGTTCTAGTACACAGCTGGGTGTCTGTAGCAAATAATAACGTAGGATGTATATCAAGACAGTGAGAGGAGAAGATTTTGAATGTATCAACAAAAAGAAATGATGTATGCATAAAGTGATGGATATGGTAATTACCCTAATTTGATCATTATAAAATGCATACATACATTGAAACATCGTACTGTATTCCATAAATATGTACAATGATTATTTGTCAATTATAAATTTAAATATCAATTAATAATGAAAAAAGACTAATTAGCTCCTGATGAGAAAGAGTAGAGGTAGAGATAGAGAAAAAATGTTTCTCAGAATATAAAGAAAAGAAAGCAAGACTTGAAGCAATTTTTTTCTAATAAGAAAGATAATGATTTCATTTGTGTTATTTTCCAGCCTGTTGAAAAAGTAGGCTTATAGACTTAAAATCCCAGAGTCACAATAATATTCTATTTACTTGACTTACTGACTTAAAGAATCTCATTATTTTTTGGCCTGACTGAGGGCTTGAAGAAAAGCATATGGGCGAAGCCTTCTCCTCCTGTGTTGAGATTATCATGTGCTTTGAAGCCACACCCTTGGACTTCAGTGTAACTTGCCTGCCTCTTGGATCAGAGAGGACTATGGGAAGATTATAGGCAGCTTCTGGTTAGAGATTATATGTGAATTTTTTGCATGGCTAGTCAAACTTTAATTTTCTTAATGGTAAGAATTCCTCAATCCATAGTCACTTTTTCATTGTTGAAGTAAGAAGTCACAACTTTCAGCTGTATAATTAAATGCAGCACCATCGAGTTCACATGAAATACTTTTATGTGAGATATTTCTCTATAGTTTTGAACCTACCTTGTGCATAACAAAGTCATGACCTAGGCACTCAGTAAAGTCTTGTGAATAATGGGCTGATTGACTAGATTAATGGGTAAATGTAAAAAGCTGCATGCAGCACAAAGTGACACATGATTTGATTACATTCTCAATATTTTAACTCTTTCTTTTAATGTTTAGAAAGTGAGATGAAAGGTAAATATGGAGGAAATTTTAAGCTTTATTAGTGTCTTATTTTTCTGCTATATCTGCATTTACCTGTAGATATGTATTCTTACAAAGTAACATATTTGTGTCATCAACAAATGAGGCATTTTAATTCATGATAATAATTATCAGTATGAGGGCATATACTCTCTTAAGACAAAAATCTAGTTAATGTTTATAGCTGGAATTTAATGATTTATACTTTTATTTTCATTAAGCACACATTCATTCTACAATATTTATTGAGTATAAAGCACTTGTCTAATTAGTTATTGTACATGAAAGATTTGACTGAGCTACAGTGTCTGATATAAAATATAAACAGATTTTTATGAACTCATGAGTATAATCAAGACAGACCTATTAATACACGTAATAGTAGGATATATAAATTTCATGTGTCTTGGTTAATTTGAAGAAAATAGGAACAGCATTTATGCAGATTTTGCTGTGAGCCCTTGGACTAAGGAATAAGAAAGAAACATTTGATTAGTATTAGAGTTTAGAAGTGTACTGGATCCATTGGGTTGAAATCCATGGTATGTTGGGGTGATCTAAACTTTTAATTGAATTTACCATTTTAGTTTGTGCACTTAAATTGAGGTATCTGTATTTGCTTCCAGATAATAAATCAAAAACAAAGTAGATACAATCAGGACACTAATTGAGGAAATGGTAAATTTAAACTGTAGTAAAACCATGCTCCATGCTAAGGGGTGAAAAAATGATTGAAAACTAAGGTCAGAACTTGTCACTGGTTTAAAACGGACAATGTGGCTGCTTGTTGCAATGAGAGTGGCAACAGCTCCTGAGAGAATGATCCAGTCACTGTTAGGAAAATGAACACACACTTTAATGAACAAGTGCAGATGATCTATTGTCCTCATGCAAAAGGAGGCGTATAACTAGTTACTCTCTTTTGAGAGTGTGTAATCTACATGGAAGCAGGGACCTGAGCTTCCTTTTTCTTGTAGTACCTTGCCTGGCACATAGGAGGTTCTCAATATGCATTTAGCGGACAAATGAATCTATGTAAGTGGTTACGAAGGTGGAGGACAATTCAGAACTTCAGCTGCGAGGAGGGAGAGCAGGGTTCATCCTGAATTTGCTGGGCTGGCGTTTACTGTGGTTATGTGTGTGACTGAAGCCCTTGGTCAGGCATATATCAAACCGACAATCAGGCAGTATGACAGTGGGGATCACTGGCATACAAGCATACACACACACATCCGTCTTTATGAATGCCCACACAGTGTTCCATAAATATTTCTTAAGTAACTGAAAGGCATGTATATGTTCGTACGAATAGCGTCATCGTCAATGTTATATTAATATATAAACTAGGGGAGGTTTTAACTGCTATTGTTTGCTTTGTATTCACATTGCATGCCTCAGCGTGTTCTAAATGGGCTGTGGACTCTAGAGTGGTGGACAAAATGAAGAATGACCACTAGAGATATAAAAGGGAGGACAAATTATGTATTTTGATCTTGAGGAGAGTTTTGATCTTGGGCAGAGAACTATTTCCCATTTGTTATCCTCGAGTGATAGCAGTAGAAAGCTAGCTAAGAGGGGGCAATGGTGAGTCCATGCTTCCTGTTTGAAGGCCTTTTAGCAAGTAGAAGGATCTTGGTTTATCATTACAAAATAAGTGTTTTAGAAAACTTGCTACTTTTATAGCTAATGGACATGGAGTATTATTTAACCTCTTTGGACCTTACTTTCTGGATCTAGGAAAAGAAGATAATAACTACTCTGTAAGATTAAATGAGATGTTTGCAAAGTGCTTACCTAATTGTTTGTTATACAGTAGGTGCATAATCATGATCAAGTCCTGTTTTTTTTCTCAATGGCAGCCGTGATACCACTCTTAATAACACAAGAACGAAATTACAAGAAAGAAATTTGTTAGCCTATACCTCATGTATGATATCATAGAGAAAAAAAGACTAATTTATAAAGAAATGATTATTCCATTTGATAAGGTTAAAATTTTTCTCATGTAATTTCTACACAGACTTATGGAAAGCAAATAAAATTATCTCCATTTTATAGCCAAGAAAACAAAGGCTTAGAGAAGTTAACTAGCGTAACCAAAGTCAAAGCTTATAAGTAGCTAGGTTGTGATTGAGACGCCTAGGTTTGTCTTACAGAAGAATACATTATTTGCTTTCAATGTTATGTTGTATGAAATAAAATTTTAATTGTAGTGATGCAAAAGGAGGAAGAGTTATCAATGAATAGTTACCAATGACATGAAAAGGAAAGAAGGATCTGGGGACTGATTGAATGCGGGGAGAGAAAAGTCAGAGGTCCTGCTTAGGACATGGAACAATGGCACCAAACCTTCTGGCTTTGGCCAAGGCCTCTGGCAATAGAGCAGATCTTATCTTTGCCAATAAGACCCACAGCAGTTCCTTTAAGTGTCAGTACCAGGAGGGAACACTGGAGGGACAAACAGAATTGGGTAGGAAGCAGAGTTGTTTACCAGCATGCTTTAAAGATAATTTTCCCCTCCTAATGACAAAACAGATTTATATATGTGCTCTCAAAGGTACTTTATATAAACATGTGCTTTGTTTCTAGAAGAATAAATAAAATTAGTTTCGAAAATCTTATTAGATGGCCCTGAAGCTTTTGGTGCTTTTTTGTAGGCAAAGTCTTGCCTCAGTGTCTGTATGAGAATGAGAGTAAGAAATGAGGGTGAAACTGAATTATATCATGAGGTTAGAGAGAAATTTGAAAACTGAAATGAATTTATATGGAGGTCAGGTGCCCTTGCCACTTCGAGGCCATTCATTCTCCTGATCTTTCTTCTCCGAAGGACTGACTCAAAAATTGAACCAGAGTGTGTTTCAGCCCTTTGAAATAAAATAATACAATTAATGGAAGCTAGTAAAGAAAGATAGAGGAGCACTCATTTTTTTTTTATTATGTGAAAAACTGTCAGACTCAAAAGTGGGAGTCATCGTGTTCATATTCAGATGACAGGTGTATTTTTGGAAGCTCAGAACAAGTATAACATTGTGTCCTAGCTAACCGTGCAATTAATGAAAACTGTTGATTAAACCACAAATAATGAAAACCATTGAATAAACCACTTATGTTGCTTTTTTTTTAAAAAAAGCATAAGATGCTTAAGGTTGGGGGAGCTCATAGGCCCTAAAGTTTCTGAATTGATACAGATAAGATGTGGGATAATTCTCCTTGATCTGCTGTTCCCTACAGAGAGACAGCATATCCAGATTTTACAAAATAGAGAATGAAGAATGAGCAGCTAGAGTATGTGATTTCTTTGAAAAATAGTGGTCATCTGGTGTTTGTCAACGTAACAGGAGATAAGAACAAATGGAATTGAACTTAAGGAGTTCTGTTGTTTAAAGGCTTTTTTTGAGTTTGTGTTTTACTGCTGTGTAGCATCTCTCGAATTTTTGTAGCAACTCTAATAACATCTCTGAGACTATGCTTAAAATGCCAAGGCCTGTCATGGAGAGCTGGTGGGGCTGGAGGGATGGAGAGAAGAGGATAAGGGTAAAGACAGGTGTTTCTTCCCTGTAACTCTGCATTAGCTGCTACAGCCATCTGTGTAGCTGCCACACAGAAATGAAAGAAACAGAAAGAAGAGTGAGGAGTACAGAGAAAACAAGAAATCCAGGCAGCATTTAAATGTATGATATTTTATTTGAAAATATATTCTATAAAAAACAATTATAAACACAGATCTATCGGTTAAAAAAGCAAAAGCGAGCTTGTATTTTTCTCTGGCTCACAACAGTGTATGCAGTGACTTTTATGCTGTGCATCTTGCTCTCTAGCCAGTGCATATGTTACTTTCTTGGAGTTTGTTAAAAGATTTTTGGGTAGTACATACACCATTCTGGGCTACTGTAAGTCTGTAGACTGCATATCTGTAGCACCCTGACAGGATACTGCCTAGATCTCCTAGAATCTTTTGCCGACTCTGTGTGCCCAACTCCCAGCTTCTGCACCCTCTGCCCTTTTCAGAGAGCTGCCCTGAGCTACCGGAGGTGCTTTACCCTCAGGCACAAAGAGCCTGGAAATGCCAGGGAGTTGATGTCCTACTATGGTTTCCCGTAGCCAATGTCTGACTGATCCAAAGTTCGAAAGCTCAGCTCCTTCCTAATATAAATGATAGCCTTCTAATATCAGTTACACTTCAGAGGCCCCTGTGCGATCAGGTTGAGGTTGAGATGTTGCTTGAAATAGCTTCCTTGATTGATTTCATCCCTTCCTTGCCTTGCTTCCCCAACTCCCTTAAGAGATTCTCCTGGAGCACATCCTTAATACATCACTGGTACATGAATCTTTACCTCAGTGTCTGCTTCTGAGGAACTTGAAACAAGACAAAAGTTCCTTCTACACACACAAACACACATACACAAGCATCACCTAAAAATATTTATTATGTGTCTAGGTACTGTGCAAATGCATAGATCTTACTATACTCAGATGTCAGGGTATACTATTAATGGGAATGAGGATGTTACAGTAGATAAAAATTTGTTTCATGCACATAAAATACTGTGGCTATACAAGGGAATAAGTGCTCTTGCTGTACAAAGGATTATTCAGTTTTTTTCTATAACAAAGTAGATATTTACAAAGGTTTTCCAATAAAATGGCTTTCAAAAAACAAAAACAACAGGGTTGGTTTTCAGTTAAATGTGCTCTCCTGTTGGAAACTTCTGTAGACTCATAGATTATATAGGTTTTTCTTTATCATGACAATTATGTAGACTATATGGGGAAAGGGTATCAAATCTATACTAAGCTATGTTTTTAAAATTTTGGTATGATTAATTATTAACATAATTCTTACAATTAAACTGATTGCTTTATGAAACAACAATGATGTCATCATTTTTATTTTTTGTAGATATAAAAACTACTTCATTAGCCTCATCCAGAAGTCACGCCTATTCTAGTGTCAGTGAGGATGAATCTCCATCAGGAGACAGGGAAGCCCACACTGAAAACAGTGCAGAGGAAAGTACCAGAAGTTCATCTGCTCAGGAACTGAGTGAAAATGATGAGCCAGGAAAATCCCACCTCTCGACTGAGGAATCCTTAGAAATTGAAACTGAAGAACAAGAAGTAACAAAAGCAGATGTGGAGACCAAACCCCTGCCAATAGAGGAAAGCTCTGAGAACATTCTTGAGGAAGAAATGGAGAAGGGAACCCAAGGGATTGCAGGGAGTTTATCTGAGAAGTCCAGGAAACATGTGTCCGAGGAAGAAAAGGAAAAGGATGCAAGTAAGCTATGTGAAGGAAGCACTGCTAAGCTGAAGGACAAAAAGGCAGGTTTCCCTGGGATGGAGAAAGGTGGTAAGTATGGCCATTGAGTTGACCCGCCATTGTCTGCTTGCATGGAAGCTGTTTGGTCATTGCATTCTGCCAAAGCTTGGGAAATACTGTTGTGATGATGCTTTAGGGATTCAATATTTTTCTGTTTCTCTCTTTGTCACATAATCATACATGTATTTTCAGCTTACTGTTTCCCTTCTATTGCATTTTAAAAATTACCTGATAATTCTTATATAGCCTGTTTTCTATTTTCTGTAAATTCCTTCTATGGTAATTCTATCTCAAGAATCAAATAAAGCACAGCATGTCTGAAGGCAAGGGTATGTGTGGCTTTCTAGAGGTTATTTAATACTAGTAATGCCATGTGTTCTTTGCTATATATGGATTTATATATATGTAGCTAACATTGATAGATGCTTAATATGTTCCGGGCATGATTCTAAACACTTTCATGTATAACTCATCGCATCGCATCCTGACAACAGCCCAATCTCCCAGTGAGTTAGGTCCTATTGTCATCATCCCTTTTTTACAGATAAAAAATTGTGGCTTGAGGAGGACAAGTACATTGCCAAGGATTATACAGTTAATAAGGGGCCTTCCTAGGATTTGAATTCAGGTAGAATGGTTCCAGAGTTTATAAAGATTTCCTACTGTATCTGTGTAATAAGAAATTAGATATAGATAAAAAATATGAAAATTTTCTAAGAAATCCTGAACTTCACTTTGAATTCTTCTCCGAAACTGAGTTATTAATACTTTCTGGTCCCTGGCGCTCCTGAGTGTGTATGGTTGTTGCATTTGAAATTGGAAGAGTGAGGAATGTCAGGACAGTCAGGCCTCAGGACCTGAGACATGTGGAAGGTCTGATGCTTTTCTCAATTTCGGGATGGCAGCGAAAGGCTTGGGTTGTGTCCTACGGTCAGCAATTGTACCTGCCAGATACCTGGCTCTCACATAGCATCCTGTGTTCTGTAACAGGTTCCACGGTCCGCCTACTCTTCTCTCTCATCTGTCTTGCTGCCAGTGCACTGAGTAGTCTTGATTTCGGAACACAATTTGCTTTCACATTTTATTATTACTAAAATCCATCTGTGTTTTAAAAACTTATGAATACTCTTAATGCTTATGTTTCTTTTAGGCCCTTAAAAGTTATTATCAAACCAGTGGGACTTACTTCTAGGAATTGAGGATGTTGAATAGTTATCTATCATTTCAACCATTATTGTTATTAACCTTCTACTATATGTGCAAGCCACCATAGTCAAAAAGAAATATGTAAGAGAGGGTTCCTTTCATAAAATGTTAAGAGGAAGTCTTGGCACCCTACTGGACAAATGTTAGTATCATACGTAAAATCAGAGAAGGTACATACAAAGTGCTACGGGGCTTCAGAGGAAGAGAAGACCCATTTCCTTGGAGGTTTTCATGAAGAACAGGTTTGAGAGACTTTAAGGTTAGATACAATTTTAAAGGTGGGATGCAGGAGGATAAAAACATTCCAGAGACTGGGGTTTAGCAAGGGATGTGACCTTTGAATAAGTTTTCAAGAATAGCTCTAGAACAGAGTTTGACAAATGTTAGCCTGTGGGGCAAATCTGGCCCACCACTATCTTTATATATTTTTTTGTTTTGTTTTGCCTGCAAGCTAAGAATGGTTTTTGTATTTTTAAATGGTCCACAAAACCCTCAAAAATTTTTAACTGAGCCATTACAGAAAAAGTTTGTCAAGCCCTGCCCTAGAATTGTAATACAGACTTCTAATATTTTCAAAAGGATTTTGCCATATATGAGTCAAGATTCTTGTTAAAATATATTTGTTACCCTTTTATAAAATGATTCAAATCTTTGATCTCATTATTAAATTCTGGTGCATATAAAGTATAATCTAGAAAATTTACACAGTGTAGCAAGCTGCTAATCAAATAAGTAGCAGTGTTAAATTTCAGTAGAAACATTGACATTATTTTTATTTATTTTTTATTTGTACTCCAGAAAACTAGATTGTTTACCTGGATTTACATAAGTAAACATCATTTTGTAAAGTAGGATGCACATAATGGAGGCTGTAATTAGGTGTTAGATAGCAGAGATGTTGCATTCAGACCATGTTTCCTGGAAAAGAGCAATTTTTTTTTCTGGATTTGTGAAACGAAAAGAGTATCAGTTTATTATGTTTCTCAAATATATTGAGAAATCTATGTTCCTGACTTGGTAACATCTATGATTTCAAAACACTTTGTTATTGTCTTTTTATTAAGGTGGGTTCAACACTAGATGGCAAGATTTGGGACTGTTTATCTTCGTTAAGCTCCAATATATGTGCAAAATCTTTTCGTTAATTTTTTAATAACAATAAATACACATGGAATGACATTTAGAAAATAAAGAAAAGTAGTTTTGAAAAATTACTTGTAGGTTTATCATGCACAAAAAAATCACTTTTAACATTTGGTCAGGCTTTTTATTTCTAAGCTTAGGGTTTGCAAAGTTATGTTGTCATATTTTTACAAAATGTATTCTGCTTTTTATCTTAACAATATACCACTATCACTTTTTGGTATTTGTTGCTATGTTATTATGTGATCTTTATGAACATGTTTAATGTGTGTATATTATGCTTTTTGTGGTTTTCTTATAATTTAACCATTTGCCCCTTGTTGGACATTTATATTTTTTTCCTATTTTCACTATTGTTATTAGTACTTTTATGAGTATCTTATTACCTAAGGTAATTTCAAATTTATAATTATTTTCTTGGAATAGATTCCAATAAGTATAATTTGTGCATCAAAAGTTACAGACTTTTTAAGGTTTTTAATACTTTTTTTCTCACAAAAGATTGGTGTAAAAGTTTAAACATTACAAAACAGACAAGAATAAAGTGAAATTTAAAGTCTTCCTTGACCAATTTCTACTTTTTTTCCCTAAAGATAACTGTGGATAACAATTTTTTTTGTGTATGATTTCAGATATTTTATATGTATAGGTAGATAGAGGAAGACATAGATACATTGATATATTATATATGTACATGTACACATTATTTTTATATATAGATGGAAACATATGATACATTTTATTCTGTGACTTGATTTTTTTTCACTTAACACTGTATCTTTGATGTCTTTTCACATCAGCGGACATCTCTATTTTATTCTTATTCACCTTACATCTTGTATTGCATAGTATTTTATAAGGTTGAAAATTTTCTTTAAAATGTGTTGCGTTCTGTGTAAGAACTCATAGTTTTGTTCCCTGACTCATCTTCCACAGAAGAACAAAATTTTGAGGTTATGAAGCCCAGAGGCAGGGATTATAAAGCACACTGGAAAAGAAGACATTAATAGGTAAAACAAAACAAAGACTATATAAAATTTTCAGAATGATGTGAAAAGAGTAATGTTATCAAAAACCTAAGGATGAGTAAACCATAACAGTTGGGTGTTCATGTCTTTTAAATGTAAACATTAATCCTTGGGAAAATGATGCAATAAATTTGTAAATATTTTAAACAGATTTAAAGAGTCATAAATATTCTCAAAGTTTTTTATATGAATAAAAACTTCTAAGAAAACTTCAGATAAAATCATCCAGATCCTGAATGCATAGATCATTATATTGATATTGATGCCAAGCAAAGATGTTACAGCAAGCTCGACTTTCTTAATTGAGTCTTCGGTGAGATGGCTCAGGAAGAGAGGCATGGAACTAAGTTTGTATGTTTGAAATCAAGGACCATTTGGGTGGCTATTCTGCAGAACACAGTTCATGTAATTAGACCAGAAGGCTGGTGAAGTCCTAAGATTGAAATGTGGTTATTTCACTTAGATCCCTGACTTGACTAGAATCTTAGATAGAAATGAAATGAGGGCTGAGAGGAAGAATAAAAGACTATTTCTCATATTTGTATGGGACTGAATTAATCATTTTTCAATTAGACTTAGAACAAAAACTGTGATTATGTTAAGAATAGACCTATGGGCTAAAAAGTTATATACAATTAATGATATTTTATAGTGTCTAAGCTAATACAATTTAATCTGAATTGTTTTTACTGAAGATCATAGCACTGGATAAATGAGTAAGTACAGTCATTGCCAATCATAACTTTTAGGTTGATAGCATAAAATGATATCTTCCTTCTTTTTATTTTATAATGTTTCATTTAATTGAGCTTTGTGCAGTTCATCAACAAGTCAGATGAATTATATAAAATTCACTGTACGCAGTGAAGTGGATAAAGTAAAAGATTGTAATTTCCAGCTATAATGAGACAGTGTCCTTGGGAGTTAATTTGGTGTTATAGGGCATAGTGTTATTTTAATATGTTTATTTTTTTCTGTTATTTTCAGTTTAAGTTGTCGTAATGCATTGTGACACAATCTTGGCGATATGTTCTAAGGGTGGAACAATTCAAGTGCATTTGTGAAGCTAATATAATTTATACATTATAAATATAAATAAAAAAAGAATAGTGTATTTTAATGTAAATTATACTGTAGAATGTATATGGAAGTAGAGATTTTATATTTTTATATGTGAATCAGGAAAAGGCACAGTGCGTAGCCAAACCTAAATAATGTTATAACTACAGTGAAATGTAATTCTGTCATCATGCAGGCAGGATGAAATGGTCCTGATGAAAGGACAAGAAAATCATGTGTTACGAGGTGAGGTCTAAAACACAATTTCTGAATGAACTGTGGAAGGATGTAGTTGTTCGTCCCAGTAGAATTTTTTTTCTGTCAATAAATATTTGTTGAGAAATATCTGTTCTCAGTGTGAGCATAACAAAGTCCCTGTCTATATGGAGTTTCTATTCTAGGAGGGAGCTATGAGGTATCTGGGCTAAGTGCTAGAAGGAAATAAAACAGGTGAGGGAAAAGAGTGATGATTTGAGGAAGGGATGGTATTTTAGGGCTGTCTTCTCTAATAATGGGACATTTGAACAAAGACCTGAATGAAGTGAGGGAGGCAGAGGTGCGGAGAGGGGCGCTCTATCATCTGTAGGAACAGCCTACGGAACA